CCCGCTTAGCCCTCCAGCCGTGATGTTCACTGACTCAAAGTCAAAACAGGGAAGAGATGAGCGGCGCCAATCCCACCTACATGACCAAAAATTCAAGTTTTGTATAGTACCTCGCTCAGGCCAACCAAACCTTACATCTTTTGGGATCAGCTGATTAATACTTCGCTAGTTTGTAAAGGTCTAGAAAAATTAAGGCACGAGTTGCAAGCCACGGCTGGATCAGTGCATATTCATTACTTTCTAGTTTTGGATACAGATTGTCTGCGTGGCGCATTTCAGAAAGGATTTCATCAACTCTTTGTGATTTATAACTTGTCCTTACGCCATAAAAATGATTAAAAATAGTGATTACGATGACTGAGGGGCAGTGCGGTTTTGATGACGTCATACGATTGCGAATAAATATTATAACAACTAAGTGAGCCCGATTTTATGGTATCACTAACACTCCAGTGTAGGCCTATAGCAGCTTATGGTTAGCTAAAACAAGGCTTTGCAAAAACTCACCTGAATATTCTTCACGAATGCGCCATTCTTTTCAGCGTGCACAACGAAGTAAAATGGATTCCCTCAAAATATGATGATTTAACTTCATTTTTTAACATGGGATAAATATGACAGATTCGTGTTCATACACTATCAACTCTTACGCCACTCCTCTACTTCATTTCATCCTTGCCCACTACCCCCTCCCTTCCTCCTCCGCCCACTTCGCTCGATGTATCCGTGGCAACGTGAGCAGTTACAGCTCGGTAAAATATTGAACTCGCGAACAGAACTTGAATTTGCATGTGATTGGGCCTGCACCAACAATTTTCCAAGTATAAAATAGATTTTTTCCATCACCTCGAAAATTCATGAAATACCCTTCACCAAGCAAATAATTGGAATCATGCATAAAATATACTAGTCAGAACGAATTCGGTTGCAATCACTGTCTTTCAAACCCGAAATTCACACCGTATTTTGCAATATTGCCCGAAAAAAAAACTCGTGCACGGTCTCGTTTTTTAAGTCACTGGATGAATCAGATAGTCAATTTTCTGGAATGCTAATGACAGCAGCATTTACAGAATTGCCATGCAATACACATGGTTGGATAGGACAAGAGGGAACCTAGACAAAGGAGAAGCTAACAAGTGTAAAAGCTTCCGGAAAAGGTAGTCGACTGGTAGCGTATGTCACCGGCAATGTTTTTGTTAGGCTTTCTAGATTGAATACACGCAGTTGAAATATCAGGATCAGAAACAAGTTGGGACATCGATAGATCGCTTGGGGAATATTTACAGGGTGTGTCATAATGTCATGTTTATCTAAATTATGTAGATAAATAAACATTACCAGAATAACACTTGTGCTTTTCTCTGACAAGGGAGGTCTTTCAGGGCAAGGTGCGCTTTTTGGAAACGGTTTAGTACATGTTGTAGGGACGCATGTATGGACCACAAAACCATGTTTCGTTTTCGCTGAACGGTTTTAGTAGTACCAAAAAAGTGGTGAATAATACTCTTGATGGTTCAATCCCCCGCGGCGACTAAATTTTGCAATCAAGGTTGGCGGCCACTTGTTGGCTTCAAAATGGTCCTGACGATGAATTTGACATCTGATTTTTGATATTTAGCGCGATTTGGCACCAAACCGTAGGCGCCAACCCAAATGCAAAATTTAGTCGGATCGAACCCTTAACAGTACCTTATGCTTCTTTTTTGGTACTGCTATAACCGTTCAGCGAAAATGAAACATGGTTTTGCGTTCCCTACATGCGTCCCTACAATATGCACAAAACCGTTTTGAAAAAGCGCACCTTGCCCTGAAAGACCTCCCTTGTAAGAGAGCCATCTCATTGGTAGCATATGAAACCTCAGAAGCGCTACTTTTCCGCCCCGAAGTGTTTAATATAAGATTTTTTTCGTCTTCAACTATTAGTGCCACATTATTATCCAAAAATGGTAACTTTAGAAGGTTAGAATTCTTGAACCTATGTACCTGTAACTGGTTGATATTTCGATGAATCAATGTTGCCGTCCTCCACAAATGATGAGTAAAGACGAAGGCCTGCGTTGTCAGAATCCGATGCGAAGACCTGGAAATCATCACCGTGTTGACTACACATAAATATTAGGCCGTCTTCCCTATGCTTTCTAATGATAATGAAACAAATCAGAGGCAGACATGATGCAGTGGGTAAGATTGACCGCTTTGGTGCGCGTGAGCTTCGAAATCGGCCCAGAGTAATCGAACCATCATCCTTGCGCAGTCGGTCATCGTGTTCCAAACTTATATAGGACTAGAGCAGCTGCCACAACGCATGGATGGTACCGGTGCCATCGAATATCGAGTAAACCAACATTTCCACTTATCTAGGGTGATCACAGGTGCCAAGCACGTCTAGGAAGACAAGCAATTCCACGTTCTACGTCAAATAGCTAAAGCCAATCATTGTATGGACTTACTTATTGCTTTGAATGTCATTACGACTCTCAGTGAAAGCCAACTGCATGGCGCACCTCAAAGGCAAACCCCGGGATTAGCCCTACTAGTGTGGAGGATTCCATGAGTGAAATTGTGCGGTCCCTATGGACAAGGAGCTCACCAAGCCCGCCGCACAAAATGCGCGGTTAGGGCGCTATTCGTTACCGCTCAATACTTTTGCCTTTTGAGAATTCAACACAAAGTGACAGACGAAGAAAAATAGGTAGTAACCGACGTGAACTCACTCTTGCTGAGCATTGCGCATTTGTATTGCTAATTGTCACAGTACATCCACTGTCTGTGAAATTTGCCACGCTGAACATTAGCTGGCCGTTTGTCAGGCTGCTATTGAACGGCTGTAAACTGCAGCCATACGTCGCCACAATATCTCCTGCAAAATGCTCGAATCACAGTGACACACAATGGGTACCCCCAGGAGGCCCGTCGCGCGGCAAGAAGGCAGAGTCGCGGACGAGTTCGCAGCGCGTGAGCGATGTAGGACGTGCAATGGACATTCTATTTAACTTGACGCGAAATCCCTACAGTACGCGCGCGACTCGTCCGCTGACTCGCCTTCTTGCCGCGCGACGGGCCTCCTGGGGGTACCCGACACACAATAGTTTCTTTTTCATTCTGATCATTTCATTAATGGCTACTTCAAGCGGATAACTACAGGTAAACTCAGATATAATTGCGGTAAATCGCCCATGTTACAGACTTCAGGCCTGTCAACAGTTCCTGCTACACACGCCCCTCGTCTGTTATTGGCCGCACGCTCTCTGATTAATGTCTGTCCACGTGGCAGCCAATCAAAGGCGAGTGGGCGTGTCGTCAGCATCTCCTCCTGACATTTCTACAGCCCGCAACTCAGATGATGCCCCTGTTCCTAAAAGCCGATAAACTAACCTTCGGTGACTACAAACATGTTCGTCTGACTAGATTGCCATGACACCGAAAGAGTTTTGGTACAGTCCTCCAGAGTGCCAAATGCCAAAGGCTGGTACTGATAGTGCGACCACATAACGACGTCGGTGTACTAAAACACCCACGGATAGAGAACTCGTAACATTGTTCAAGGAATACTCCGCAATAAGAAATCATGACATGCAGGAATATAAGGGAAAAGCAAACAAAAAAAAGATGGAAATGGACAGAGGCACCCACGAAAAATGCAACGATTAAGAGCAGATGGACGTGAGAAAGAGAAAGGAAGATGATATAGAATTAGGGAAAGGTAATCGTGAATAGGGAGTGAAAGAAAAAAGGCAGGCTAAAAAAAGAGCACAAATAAAGAGGGAGAAAAATAATTGTGAGTAATTAGAACCAAATTAAGAAAGAAAGAATGAGAAGTAAAAGCAAAAAGATTTGAAAAGGAAGAAAGAGGGAATGTTAGGAAAGGCAGTCAACAAGTCAGGCAATCAGACAGGCAGAGAAACAAACAAAGGAACAAACAGATGGAAAGGTAGACAGGAAGAACAGACAGACAGACAGACAGACAGACAGACAGACAGACAGACAGACAGACAGACAGACAGACAGACAGACAGACAGACAGACAGACAGACAGACAGACAGACAGACAGACAGACAGACAGACAGACAGACAGACAGACAGACAGACAGACAGATAGATAGCAAGAGACAGGAGGGGCGCAGAAAGATGAGTCACAGAAGGCGCCACAGTAGAAGAGGTGGATAGGCATAGGAGTCATTGAGAGGTAGAGAGACAAGATGAAGCCCAGAGAAACAGACGAAAGATGTCCAAAAGGAAAAAGGTGAGGACATTACCTGAGCGACTTCATCAGGTGCATATTTCTGCGGAACAAAGAGTCCTCCCGTGGTGAACGCCATATTCTTCAGCTGGTCATACTAACTAAGAACTTCTACAAAAGTCCCTATTAGATAAGCAAATACAGCACAATAATTTTCGTTTGCTAAAGCAAACATCCCGCGAGATTCCATCTAGACGCGAACTACTTGTCTTCGTTTCCAAATACAAATAATTACTGCTTCAATTGATATTACACTGAATTTATAGACCATTCATTAACAAAACTGATGGATTTTGAATAAAAATTACATGCGAAAAATATCAAGTAATATGCTTAATACATAAAACCTGGAGTCACTCACCTGACGGATTGACTTCTTCCTCCGCTCTCTCAAAGCACCGAATGAACGTCTCATCGGAAATCCAGCACAACCATCTTCATCTGAAGAACATATTGTTATAAAAGCGATGCTCTCTACTGATAAATAATATAAAAATATCATATATAATCATCTTCAATATACTCCTACCTCTAACGTCATTCATTTCCAAAGCATCACCAATACCATAGTCAGAGCTGCCCGTTTACCAAGCTGATATACATCCTATGAGACCTTCTTGAAAATTTGCATTGTACCACCTTGTAAAAAACACAAGATAAACCAAATCTACTCACACACTCCTTGCGACCACCTTGCTGATTTAAAACCCTGATCGTGCGCTTACGACCCAAATCTGCTTTTTTCTGAATCGCTTCCCATTGCCTAGTCCTTCACGTTTTCCTTTGCTGGCAACCTCGCATTATCGTCCGAACCCAACTGTTCAGTTATTCCTGTGCCACACGAGGTTGATAAATGGAAAATTTTATTACCTCCCCCGACGTTTCGAACCTATTTCGTCTTCTTAAGAGGCCTGAAGATAGCTCGAAGCTTCTAACCGTGTTGACAACACGACGTCGGAAACGCTAGAGGGGAAGGCGCTTGGTCGGGTAGATTACAAGATCAGAAAGCTTCGAGCTATTTTCAGACCTCTGAAGAAGATGAAAAGGTCGAAACGTCGGAGCAGATTAAATAAAAAGGTTCCCAATTATCGACCTTCGTGTATCACAGAAGCAGCTAAACAAAATTTCTTCACCCTTTGTGATGGATGGCTGAGGATTTCGAATTTCGGTATTAGAGGATCGGAAAGAGGGGCGGTTCAGGTGTTGGAAGATGAGCAATCATATGTAAGCAAAGAGTAATCGCTGGTCCCTTTATAGACAGTTTTTTAACAAATAGCCAAAAAAGGAATGATGTGTACGTATAATCTCTAAGCTCTCTCACTAACCCGCGGTCAGACAGGCTGTTCCCGAAGATATTTTGCAGAGATGATGAGTATGGTTTCGGAATCAAGAATCTTAGAAATGGCCATGGTGGTGAAGGTGGTGAGTGGAGTCGTATGGGGGAGGGGGATCCGGCAGAATGGACAGTCGTGCCCAGCCAACCGCATGCCTTCCACCATCCAGAGTCGGTTATTTGTAGCAAAGGTGCTGCCTTGCTATTTGAACTAGGCCTTCGCAAGTCAGTGTGTCAGGCCACATGCCCTTGAAATGTGCCCGATTCTGGACAGAATAGCATGCTGAGCGCATCCCAAGTGATGACCAATCGCGAAAGCCCTCCTCCTTTACTCTTTTACTGTCCGCGCGACCATAGTACCAAATTTCAATAAGACGAAGTACCAAACGAAGTGGGCGCTGGATTTTCCGAAGAACCCTCTTCACCGCAAGTCTACTTCAATTGCCAGCCACTGACGGAATCTCGATATTGCTGAGGTCTGATTGGTAAAATTATCCTGTGAGAGGTATTTCTGAAAATTTTGCCCATGCAACGAAGTGATCAGCATTCAACGATCCTGAAAAGTCGCCGTATGATACAAAAATTCTTCGTACAGGACTGTTTCAGACTGCTAGCTAACTAGGGGCTAAGTTTTTTGTGTGTTTGCAGAATTTCCCGAAAAGGAAGGAGACACTCTTCGACCTACCCGTATATTGAATGCTAAAGCAAGCTCCTGAAGTTTATCGCGGTACTCGCCGTCATCTGCAGGAGGGAACTGAGTGACTACGGTTCACCGCAGTATCACGAAGGCCGAGTTCTGGAAACATTTGGTGTACGTCCGTAATTTCTATTACTTTTTCCATACTTGTTATTTGTTTATTTTTAATTTCATTTCTGTAAAATTTACTGGCTAGATCGGCCCAAACAGCTACTACCGTTTGAATCAATGAGCATGCTTGAATATTACTTTCCGCATAGCGATGTCAACTTTGCGAATCGCGCGATTCGCCTAGCGTCTGCGGTCGCGTCGCGGCCAGTGAATCACTCAATTGGCTGGTACCGCAACGCGACGCGGACCGGCGGCGCGTGAATCGCTAGTAGCGAATCGCGCGATTCGCAAAGTCTTGAACATCGGCCATAGCTATCTTGCCCCATACACCTTCCTTTCTAACACGTGTTTCTGTTCCACTACCGCACACAGGGTTCGTTAACGGTTATTCTACTCAAGAGGAGTGAGGGTCAGGTCTCGAATCAGGTTAACCTCGATGTGATTACTATAAGCGTTCTGCATGTGCTATACAGACACTCTCCTAACCAAACCCAATTCTCCCAGTTCCCGCTGAAATGTTTTCAGACAACTCTACACTGACAGCTCAATTAAACGCTATTTGTAAGCCTTAACAGACTGATCGTACGTTCGGTTACAAAATCCTTAAGCTAGTAAGTTCAAAGATAGAGCTCGCTGCCAGCAAGATCGAATCACGAGCTGTCAGAGTTGGATCACAGAAGTGTGGAGCCTCTCAATTA